ACAGCTTCCAGTGGGAGAGGAGGAAATCCAATTTGGAAAGGCAAGCTCTAAACTTATCTGGATCCCAAATATTCCCATTTTCACATTAAAAAATATTCCTGCAGAGCTGTTTTCCACAAGGGAAAGGATCAAAAAATAATCATGGAAGTTCTCCTTGGTGCCCCAAATCCATTTCTCCATCACTTCTGCCACTCTTTAACCCAACCACAACCCCAAAACCTGATTGGAACGGGGTTGGTTTGGTTCTGGTTCCATCTCAGCACCTGAATCCTGGATGGGATTGGAATTGGGATGGGATTGGGATTGGAGTTGGAGTTGGGGTGGGATATTCCTGGAGAAGCAGGAGGAAATCCTGCTGGTTCTGCCAAGGAATGCAGTTCCTCAAGGCTTGACGGCTCCGATTGCCTGGGATCCTGCCAGGCTCTGGAAAACAGGGAAAAAAAGCAGGAAGATCCTCCCTAGATGGAAAATCCAGAGTGGGAAGGACAAAGATGGGAAAATCCACAATGGGAAGAGCAAAGTTCCTCCCTAGATGGGAAAATCCAGAGTGGGAAGAACAAAAATCCTCCCTAGATGGAAAATATCCAGAGTGGGAAAAGCAAAGATGGGAAAATCCAGAGCGGGAAGAGGAAAGATGGGAAAATCCAGAGCAGGAAGAGCAAAGATGGAAAATCCAGAGCAGGAAGAGCAAAGATGGAAAATCCAGAGCAGGAAGAGCAAAGATGGAAAATCCAGAGCAGGGAAGAGCAAGATGGAAAAACCAGAGCAGGAAGAGCAAAGATGGAAAATCCAGAGCAGGAAGAGCAAAGATGGAAAATCCAGAGCAGGAAGAGCAAAGAGGGGAAAATCTACAATGGGAAGAGCAAAGTTCCTAGATGGAAAAATCCAGAGTGGGAAGAACAAAAATGGGAATATCCAGAGTGGGAAGAAGAAAGATAGGAAAATCCAGAGCAGGAAGAACATTCTGGAATCCATGGGTATTTCCCTAAAAACGATGACTCTGATCATGAGGGGTGAACACGCCAGCAGCACTTAAACCCAGCTTAACTCCGGTGTAACCTCCACGTTAACCCGTCTGTCCAGTTTATTCACTTCCTATTATTCCCTGGATCATGCTTTGAATAATTTCCATGATCTCTTCCTCCAGTCCTGCCCCCTTTGATGTCATCCCTTCCCTCCATAAAGGCTGGACAGCTCCAGGGCCTCCCAAATCCCACAGCTTTGGGCCAGGACTGGATTTCTGCTCAGGGTTAAGCCCAGGGCTGGGTTTAGTGGCTTCTCTAAACGCTCAGAGGTCAGAGTTTCTGCCAAGGTACAGTGTAAATTGGTTATAATTTGATTTTTTTTAATGTGTGTTTTTATATTTGTGGCTATAAATCTTGGGCTGTGCTGTTTGTCCAGATTGTTTCTGAATTATTTTGCTTTATTAAATTTTTGGAATGATTAATTTTAACAAAGCAGATGTAAACAGGATGAATTCACCATAAACTTAAAATCCCACTCAGAACACCTGAAAACTGAATTATCTCTGACAACCAGGCTTTGTCTGGGCGTTTTTATAGTCAAAATTAGACTTAAAAAGTCAGTGTTTGATAAATTCTTTTAGCATTCATTTTGGGTAATTCTTCCTTTTTTCCCACATTTCCTCATGAGCAAGGGCTAGATTCTTTTAACATTCATTTTGGGTCACTAAAATATCCAGAGTGGGAAAAGCAAAGATGGGAAAATCCAGAGTGGGAAGGACAAAGATGGGAAAATCCACAATGGGAAGAGCAAAGTTCCTCCCTAGATGGGAAAATCCGGAGTGGGAAGAACAAAAATCCTCCCTAGATGGAAAATATCCAGAGTGGGAAAAGCAAAGATGGGAAAATCCAGAGTGGGAAGGACAAAGATGGGAAAATCCAGAATGGGAAGAGGAAAGATGGGAAAATCCAGAGAAGGAAGAGCAAAGATGGGAAAATCCAGAGAAGGAAGAGCAAAGATGGAAAATCCAGAGAAGGAAGAGCAAAGATGGAAAATCCAGAGCAGGAAGAGCAAAGAGGGGAAAATCTACAATGGGAAGAGCAAAGTTCCTAGATGGAAAAATCCAGAGTGGGAAGAACAAAAATGGGAATATCCAGAGTGGGAAGAAGAAAGATAGGAAAATCCAGAGCAGGAAGAACATTCTGGAATCCATGGGTATTTCCCTAAAAACGATGACTCTGATCATGAGGGGTGAACACGCCAGCAGCACTTAAACCCAGCTTAACTCCGGTGTAACCTCCACGTTAACCCGTCTGTCCAGTTTATTCACTTCCTATTATTCCCTGGATCATGCTTTGAATAATTTCCATGATCTCTTCCTCCAGTCCTGCCCCCTTTGATGTCATCCCTTCCCTCCATAAAGGCTGGACAGCTCCAGGGCCTCCCAAATCCCACAGCTTTGGGCCAGGACTGGATTTCTGCTCAGGGTTAAGCCCAGGGCTGGGTTTAGTGGCTTCTCTAAACGCTCAGAGGTCAGAGTTTCTGCCAAGGTACAGTGTAAATTGGTTATAATTTGATTTTTTTTAATGTGTGTTTTTATATTTGTGGCTATAAATCTTGGGCTGTGCTGTTTGTCCAGATTGTTTCTGAATTATTTTGCTTTATTAAATTTTTGGAATGATTAATTTTAACAAAGCAGATGTAAACAGGATGAATTCACCATAAACTTAAAATCCCACTCAGAACACCTGAAAACTGAATTATCTCTGACAACCAGGCTTTGTCTGGGCGTTTTTATAGTCAAAATTAGACTTAAAAAGTCAGTGTTTGATAAATTCTTTTAGCATTCATTTTGGGTAATTCTTCCTTTTTTCCCACATTTCCTCATGAGCAAGGGCTAGATTCTTTTAACATTCATTTTGGGTCACTATTTATTTATTTTTTTTATTCCACATTTCCTCATGGCTAAAGACTCAGAGCTTTAATTTCATTAAATTAAATTAATTTCCTTAATTCCATCACAGAACCTCTCCCAGCAATCCTTTAGCTTCTTCTGCTCTCCTCGATTTCAACCTCTATCCCTGTATCCCTAATTTTTATTTTATTTTTTCATTTGGAGCAAAGGTTGTCCCAAAGTTTGGACTCAGTAAACTCCTTTTAATGACATAATGAGCAGGGTGATTCACGGGCTGCTGTCATGTTGGGAATTCTCACCTTGTCACCTTCAGGACGCGGAAATGTCCCAACGTCACTCTGCTGTCCCACACTGCCACCAGAGCCAGTTTTCCATGCTCAGAAATGCTGGAATTATCCCTGGAATTGCACAGGAGATGTTTTAATTACTGGGAGAAATAATAATTTAAAAAATCTAGATTTTTAGTTGTATTTATGCTGCTCTTTTGAGTGGTTTTCAATTTGTTTTCAGTTTCTTTTCGCTGCTGTAAAATACAAATACCTAAATTCCTATTTATGTAGCAAAATAGCTGTTAATAATGTTAATTAATATTAATAATAATACTATTTAATATTTTGGTGGTCTTCAATAAACACCCCGAGGGTGTTTTTATTTTATTTCCAGTGGTTTCTACAATTTTATATTTTATTTTTATTTTTATTTCCAGTGGTTTCTACAATTTTTGAATTAAATTCTTTCTCCACACCCTAATTTGCCTCATCCCCTCTGTGCATCCAGCTGAGGTTTTTCTCCATTTCCATCCCAAAATTCCTGCCTGCCCCTCCTCTATTTCATCTTGGAGCAGAGTTCAGACATGAATTCATCCTGTTTATTCTGCAGAATGAGATCCTACAGAAAAAAATTAAAACCAGCTTCTAATTTTCTAATTCAACCCATTGAAAGTTGAATTTTTCCCTCATTCTTTGCCATAAGGATGAAGCCATAGTGGTTTTGAGCCAGTCTTGGTTTAGGCCCATAAAACAAGAATAAATAAGAAATAATAATGTAATAAATAATATATATAATAAATAAGATATAAAAATAAATATATAAATAAATAATAATGTTTAAATCAGAATATTCCACTAGCAATATTCACTCATCATGAATTACAAATCTGTGGGGATCCACAATGAGTTGACACTTCAGAATTAAACCCTGCTCCTTGGAGTTCTTGGAAAGAAGAAAATTCCTCACCTTTTTTGGCCTCAAACTTCCCAGCATTAGTCCCAAATCCTCTGGAAGTGTGGGAAAGCTCCTCAGAATTCCTCAGCAGCAGCAGAATTTGGGTTCTTTGCTCCTTCCTGGATGCAGATTCTGGGGGAATCTCCCTGGATTCAGATTCTCTGCAATTTTATTGTCAGGTTTTCCTAATTACAAGCTCGTTTGGGGATTTGCTTGGAAAAGGCTTCTTTGGAAAACAAAACTTTGGAAAAGCTTCTTTGGAAAGGCCTTTTTGGAAGAGGCAACTTTGGAAAAAACCTGATTGGAAAAAGACTCTTGGGAAAAAACACTTTGGAAAAGTGTTTGGAAAAGCCTCTTGGAAAAGACCTCTTTGGAAAAAGCCTCTTTGGAAAAATTGTGTTTGGAAAAGTCCTCTTTGGAAAAGCCTGTTTGAAAAAGGTTTCTTTGGAAAAGGTTTGTTTAGAAAAGCCTCTTTAGAAATGACGTCTTTGGAAAAATCCTCTTTGAAAAGGGCCCATTTGGGAAAAACCTGTTTGGAAAAGGTTTCTTTGGAAATGGCCTCTTTGGAAAAGCCCCTTTGGAAAAAGGCCTCATTGGAAAAGCCCTCTTGGGAAGAGACCTCTTTGGAAAAGCCCATTTGGGAGAAGCCTCTTTGGAAAAAACTCTTTGGAAAAAAGTCCTCTTTGGAAAAAAGTCCTCTTTGGAAAAAAGTCCTCTTTGGAAAAAAGTCCTCTTTGGAAAAAAGTCCTCTTTGGAAACCCTCAGATTAATACGATTTTCCATTGTTTCCCACGCCCAGAAAGCCATTTAGATGATGGAACCAGAGCTGCCAGGAGGAAGAGGAGGAGAAGCAGCAGCTGAGGAAGGGCTGATCGAGTTCTACAGCTCCTACAAGGAGATGTTTGAGTTCTTCTGCAAGAACACCACGATCCACGGCACCATCCGCCTGGTGTGCTCCGGCAGGAACCGCACGAAGACGGCGTTCTGGACGCTGCTGCTGCTGGCCAGCCTGGGCATGCTCCTGGGAAAGGCCTCCTTGGAAAAGGCCATCTGGGAAAGGGTTCTTTGGAAAAGGCCGTTTGGGAAAGGTTTCTTTGGAAAAGGCCGTTTGGGAAAGGGTTCTTTGGAGATGCCCGTTTGGAAGAAGTTGTTTTGGAAATGGCCATTCGGAAAAGGCCTGTTTGGACAAGCCCTCTTAGGAAGAGACCTCTTTGGACAAGCCCATTTGGCACAGGCCTGTTTGGAAAAGGTTTCTTTGGAAAAAGTCCTCTTTGGAAAAAACCTCTTTGGAAAACGCCCCTTTGGAAAAAAGCCTGTTTAAAAAGCCTCTTTGGAAGAGTCTTTCCCTCAGATTAATACGATTTTCCATTGTTTCCCACGCCCAGAAAGCCATTTAGATGATGGAACCAGAGCTGCCAGGAGGAAGAGGAGGAGAAGCAGCAGCTGAGGAAGGGCTGATCGAGTTCTACAGCTCCTACAAGGAGATGTTTGAGTTCTTCTGCAAGAACACCACGATCCACGGCACCATCCGCCTGGTGTGCTCCGGCAGGAACCGCATGAAGACGGCGTTCTGGACGCTGCTGCTGCTGGCCAGCCTGGGCATGCTCTACTGGCAGTTTGCCCTCATGTTCAGCCAGTTCTGGGCCTACCCCGTGGTGCTCACCATGTCCATGGACTCCGAGCCCAAAATGTTCCCGGCCGTCACCATCTGCAACCTGGATCCCTACAGGTCAGCTGAGGTTTGGGGATGGTCAAGGACGCGTCCTAAAGGTTTGGGGATGGTCTGGGATGTGTCCCTGAAGGCCTGGGGATGGTCTGGGATGTGTCCTAAAGGTTTGGGAAGGGTCAGGGACATGTCCCTAAGTTTTGGGGATGGTCTGGGATGTGTCCCAAAGGTTTGGGAATGGTCAGGGATGGGTCCCTAAAGGTCTGGGAATGGTCTGGAATGGGTCCCTAAAGGTTTGGGAATGGTCAGGGACACATCCCAAAGGTTTGGGGATGGTCTGGGATGTGTTGTCCCTAAAGGTTTGGGAATGGTCTGGGACATGTCCCAGAGGTTTGGGGATGGTCTGGGATGTGTCCTAAAGGTTTGGGAAGGGTCAGAAACCCCTTGGATGCATCCCACAGCCATCCCCATCTGCCATCCCAGCACATCTGGATGGTCCCAAAGGTTTGGGAATTGTCAGGGATGTGTCCATAAAAGGTTTGGGAATGGTCTGGGATTCTCAAACCCAAAGGTTTGAGAAAGTAATAAATTAAATATTAAAAGAATATTGTTAGAGTTAAGTGTGCTGAGCAGCAGAGTTTCTGGATATTCTTCCACAGATCCCAAGGAATAACTTTTCCATGGAACCTGTGAGATTAGAAATGTGGAATTTTTCCCCAAATGTTGATTTTCCCCAAATGTGGATTTTTTCCCAATCCCTGCAGGTTTGAGCTGGTCAGTGAGAGATCAGAAATGTGGAATTTTCCCCAAAATGTTGATTTTTTTCCCCAATCCCTGCAGGTTTGAGCTGGTCAGTGAGCAGCTGGAGCAGCTGGAGCTCATGGCCGAGGAGTCGCTGACCTTCCTGTACGGCCCCAAGGCCTCGGCCAGGCTGTCCCACCTGAGGGACAGGGACAGGGACAGGAACAAGGACATAACCATCCGTGTCCAGGCCTGGGCCAACCTCAGCAGCGCTGGCTTCAGGCTCAGCCACAACTTCTCCCTGGTCAGGATGTGGGACCCCAGGGCAGGCAAAAAACATTCCAGAGTGGGATTCCGGCTGGTGAGCGGCGCTGCGGGCACGGAGGGGCAGCGGGGGCACCTCGGGGGGGGTGCACCCCAAAATACCTGGGGATTCACCCTAAAATACCTGGGGGTTCACCCCAAAGAAACTGGGGATTCACCCCAAAATACCTGGGGATTCACCCTAAAATACCTGGGGGTTCACCCCAAAGAAACTGGGGATTCACCCCAAAATACCTGGGGATTCACCCTAAAATACCTGGGGATTCACCCCAAAGAAACTGGGGATTCACCCCAAAATACCTGGGGGTTCACCCCAAAATGCCTGGGGATTCACCCCAAAGAAACTGGGAATTCACCCCAAAATATCTGGGAATTGGGGTGGGGATTCACCCTAAAATACCTGGGGATTCACCCCAAAGAAACTGGGGATTCACCCCAAAATACCTGGGGAATGGGATTTACCACAAAATAATCTATCACTATTATGGGAATAATAATAGGGGGGTTTATTTATATATATAAAAATATAAATAATATAATATAATAGATACATTATATTATAATGGACAATATAATATACTATAACAATAATTATTATACTGTAATAATAATTCCTATGGTAGTAATATATTATGGTAATAATCTATTACTATTATAGGGATAATAATAGTTCCCATATAATACAATAATTTATATATATATATATATATATCTATAAAAAATTATATATTATATGTTAAAATAATATATAATTTATATATATAAAAATTATATATTATATGTTAAAATAATATATAATTTATATACTCATATATATTATATGTTTGTTTTTATATATTTATAGATATTTATGTATATATATTTAATATGTGTTATATATTAACATTATATATTGCAATACTTTTAATAGATGATATAATATTATGTAATTTAATACAATATAATATAACATAATATAATATAACATAATATAGCAATATGATGTAATATGATGTAATATGATGTAATATAATGTAATATAATGTAATGTAATGTAATGCAATATAAAGTAATGCAACATAATATAATACAATATAATATAATAGATAACATAATATAATGATTCACCCTAAAATACCTGGGGATTCACCCCAAAGAAACTGGGGATTCACCCCAAAATACCTGGGGAATGGGATTCACCACAAAATAATCTATCACTATTATGGGAATAATAATAGGGGGGTTTATTTATATATATAACAATATAAAGTAATGCAACATAATATAATACAATATAATATAATAGATAACATAATATAATATAACATAATATAATAATATGATATAATATGATATGTTATAATATAATATGATATAATATAATGTAATATAATGTAATATAATGCAATGTAATATAATGCAATGCAATATAATGCAATGCAATATAATGTAATGCAATATAATGCAATGCAATATAATGTAATGTAATATAATGTAATACAATATTATATAATAGGTAACATAATATAATATAACATAGTATAACAATATGATATAATATGATATGTATAATATAATGTAATATAATGTAATACAATATAATGTAATACAATATAATATAATATATAACATAATATAATATAACATAATATAATATATAACATAATATATAACATAACACAACATAACACAACAATTCTTATCACATAACACCCACAATTCCCCCAACAACAACAGCTCCTTTTCCCTTCCCCCTGCCCTTTCCCTGTGTCCCAGTGCAATTCCACAGGCGGGAATTGCTTCTACAACTCGCACCCGTCGGGCATGGACGCCCTGCTGGAGTGGTACCGCTTCCACTACATGAACGTCATGGCCCAGCTGCCCCCGGCGCTGGCCCAGCACCAGCAGCACTTCCAGGACCTGGTCTACTCCTGCCAGTATGATGGGGAGCCCTGCAGGCCCAGGTGGGTGGGACAGGGAGCTCACAGCCCCGGGGGGCACCAGGGGAAGTGCAGGTGGGAGATCGGGGAGAGGTTTTGTACAGAAAGGGGATGAAGTTCTGGAGGGGCTGGAGTCACCATCCCTGGGTGGGTTTAACAAAGCCTGGATGTGGCACTGGGTGCCAGGCTTGAGTTGGGGCTGGGTTGGACTCCACGGTCTTGAAGGTCTCTTCCAACATGGGGAATCTGTGAATTTGGGGGAATTTCGGGAATTCCCAGGAACCGGGGAGGTGCTGGAGTCACCATCCCTGGACGTGGCACTGGGTGCCAGGGTTCGGCTGAGGTGTTGGGGCTGGGTTGGACTCCACGGTCTTGAAGGTTTCTCCCAACCTGGGGATTCTGTGACTCTGTGATTCTGTGAATTTGGGGTTTCCAGGGAATGCACAGCTCCTTCCCCCTGTCCCAAACACATCCAGCTTGGAATTAAGGTGGTGTCACACTTGTAATTAAAACCCCATCACGTTTCTCTTGATCTTCCATTAAAAGTCCATCAAATCTCTGATTTTCCAGTGATTATGTTCACTTCCACCACCCAGTTTTTGGGAGCTGCTACACTTTCAACAGCAAGGGGACAGATCCCTTCTGGGCAGCCACAAAACCAGGAATTCCTTATGGTGAGTGATCGGCAAAATGGGCAGAAAGGGCTAAAATTAAGATAAATAATTATATTGGTCCTTAGTGCAGGATTTAGTAGCAAATTTTGGCCTCTCTTTTGGTCTGGTGGCACAAATTATTGGCTTGTGTGACAGCCATGCCAGCCACATCTGGGCTTAAAAAAAACAGAATTTCTTTTTAGTTTGGAGCAGGATATTCTTACAATGTTTATTGCAGAATATTGGGGTTTATTGGGTTTTATTTATAGGGTTTTTATTCTTTATTATGGGATTATTGAAGGTTTGGACTAGGTGCCATTGTCACCAGGGCTCTGAGGATTAAAAATGGCTCTTGAGGGATCCCAGAGCCCAAATCTGGGACCCGAACCCAAACAGGAGGGATTTGGATTTTATTTATATTTATTATTATTCATTATTTATCACTTATCATTTATTTTATACATATATATTTATAATATTATGGGATTATTGAGGGCTTGGAATAGCTGCCACTGTCACCAGGGCTCAAAGGATTGAACATGGCTCTTGAGGGATCCCAGAACCCAAATCTGGGACCCAAACCCAGACAGGAGGGATTTGCCCAGCGCTGGGCACTCCAGCTGTCCTCCTGTCCCCCCCAGGTGTCCTCCTGTCCCCCCCAGCTGTCCTGCTGTCCCCCAGCTGATCTCTGTCCCCCTGTGTGTCCCCAGGGCTGTCCCTGATCCTGCGGGCCGAGCAGAAGGAGCACATCCCGCTGCTGTCCACCGTGGCCGGGGTGAAGGTGATGATCCACAGCCACAACCAGACGCCGTTCCTGGAGCACGAGGGCTTCCACATCCGCCCGGGCATCGCCACCACCATCGGCATCCGCCAGGTGGGCGTGGGGCAAACCATCCCAGACCATCCCAGACCAAACCATCCCAGACCAAACCCACCCTCCCAAACCATCCCAAACCAAACCCAGCCATCCCAAACCATCCCAAACCAAACCCACCCATCCCAAACCATCCCAAACCAAACCCACCCATCCCAAACCATCCCAAACCAAACACAGCCATCCCAAATCAAACCAATCCCAGCCATCCCAAACCATCCCTTTTGGCATCCGCCAGGTGGGCGTGGGTGAAACCATCCCAGACCATCCCAGGTCATCCCAGACCATCCCAGACCATCCCAAACCATCCATCCCAAACCATCCCATCCCATCCCAAACAATCCCATCCCTTTTGGCATCGGCCAGGTGGGCATGGGTGAAACCATCCCAAACCATCCCTTTTGCATCCCATCCCATCCCATCCCATCCCATCCCATCCCATCCCATCCCTTTTGCATCCCATCCCATCCCATCCCATCCCATCCCATCCCATCCCATCCCATCCCATCCCATCCCATCCCATCCCATCCCATCCCATCCCATCCCATCCCATCCCATCCCATCCCATCCCATCCCATCCCATCCCTTTTGGCATCCGCCAGGTGGCCACAGCCCCTCAGGGGCACGGGGACACCTGGTGGGCTTGGGGTCCTCTCCTTGTGCTCAGGTCCAAATAAAACGATCCCAAACGTGGCCTTTTGGAGTCCAGGAGGGTTGGCACCACCAAGGGTTGGGATGTCCCCTCTGGTGGCACAGGGACACCCGGCAGGCTCGGGGTCCTCTCGTGTCCTCACTGGGCTCAGCCCCAAATAAAAAGATCCCAAATGTTCTTTTGGCTCTCAAAATGTTGGAGCCTGATTTCATTCCCACTTAATAGATATTATATAAAACTATAAAATATAAACTATTAATGTATGTAATATGTTGTATATTAATTACATTAATTTATATTGTTTCCCTGATATTAATTACCAAGGCCCAGCTCTGCTGCTCATTAACTCCCTGCCCTTCCCGCAGTGCAGTCCTGAGGGTGATGGCTGGCTCTAATTAACCCTGCTCATCACCCGGGGCTCCAATTAACCCTGCTAATCACTCGGGGCACTAATTAATGAACCCTGCTAATTAATCAGCCTAGCTCCTTTGTGTCCCCACAGGACCAGGTGAATCGCCTGGGTGGCAACTACGGCAGGTGCACCACGGACGGGGCCGACGTGGCCGTGGAGCTGCTCTACAACAACTCCTACACCCTGCAGGTACTGAGCCTGGCTTAGCTAAACCTGGCCTAGCCAGGCTGGAGCTGCTCTACAACAACCGTACACCCTGCAGGTACTGAGCCTGGCTTAGCTAAACCTGGCCTAGCCAGGCTGGAGCTGCTCTACAACAACTGTACACCCTGCAGGTACTGAGCCTGGCTTAGCTAAACCTGGCCTAGCTAAACCCGGTTTAGCCAGGCTGGAGCTGCTCTACAACAACCGTACACCCTGCAGGTACTGAGCCTGGCTTAGCTAAACCCAGTTTAGCCAGGCTGCAACTGCTCTACAACAACAACTCCAATTTTTTTTGCCCCTGTCTCCTAAGAACTCTGTCCTACAGATTCAGAATATTTTTCATTTATCCAAATTTTTCCCCTTTTCTCTTACAGATTCCATCCTAGAGATTCGGATTTTTTTCTGACCTATCCAATTTTTTTAACCCTTTTCCCTTCACCCTCTACAATCAGAATTTATTTTTATTTATCCAATTTCCCTGTTTTCTCCTAATAACTCCACCCTACGCACTCAGATTTTTTTCTCATTTATCCAAAATTTTTTCCCCCTTTTTCTCCTACCATTTCCATCCTAGAAATTTGGAATTTTTTTTGGTTTATCCCCATATTTTTCTCTGCTTTCCCGTCTCCAGGCCTGCCTGCACTCGTGTTTCCAGCGGGCCATGCTGCGGCGCTGTGGCTGCGGTTATTTCTATTACCCGCTGCCCGCCGGAGCGCGCTACTGCGACTACAGCCGCCAGCCCGCCTGGGGTGAGCAAAAACAATAAAAATATTGAATATTGTAATGAAAATATAAAATATAATTGTAAAAATAAAGCCTAGGAATTCACTGGGTCCCAGGAAAAAATCCCTGGGATTGCCAGGGAATGGCGACTGCAGCCGCCAGCCCGCCTGGGGTGAGCAGAATGATAAAAATATTGAATATTGTAATTAAAATAAAGCCTGGGAATTCAGTGAGTCTCAGGGAAAAATCCCTGGGATTTCCTGAATCCCTGGGGAAAAAAAAATCCCTGGAATTTCCTGAGTCCCCGGGAAATCCTTGGAATCCCAGAGTTCCCTGAGTTTAAAGGATCCTGGATCCACGGGGTTGGGAATTGTCTTTAAAGTCCTTTCCAACCCAAAATTCCGGGATTTTAGGATTTCATTCCAGGATTTTAGGATTTAATTCTGATGATTTTCCTTCAGGATAATTCCAAAGGGAATTCCTGGGAATTCCCAACCCTGTTCCTTCCATCCCCTTTTCCAGGGCACTGCTTTTACCAGCTCTACTCCCGGCTCAGGAATCACCGCCTGGATTGTTTCCAGCACTGCCCCAAACCCTGCAGGTGAGCCCCAAAAATCTCAGTTCAAATTTCAAATGGAATGCTCCCATCTTTTTCAAAATTTAATTGAAATGAAAATTAAATTTATTCGAAATTTAATGTAATCTAAATGTAATGGAAATTAAAATTAAATTTAAATGTAACGGTCCCATATTTTTCTAATTTAAATTTAATTATTTCTATTTATTCTATTTAATCAATATTTAATTTAATAGATAAATTTATTTCTATTGATTATATTTATTATATTTAATTATTCAGGGTTTATTTTGTCACCTGAATTGGGAAGCTTTTCCCAAACTTCTGAAGAGCTGCCCTGGGAATTTTCTGGATTTCTGGGAATTCTCCCTGGGCAGCTCCTGCTGCTCAGAATTCCAGGTTTTTCAGAATTCCTGCTTTTTTCTCCCCAGGGAATCCCTGTACAAGGTCTCAGCTGGCACAGCCAAGTGGCCCTCGGCAAAATCCCAGGTACTACAAAAATTCCAGTAATTAATATTGCAATAACAAATATTCCAATAATGAATATTCCAATAAACATTCCAGTAATTAATATTGCAATAACAAATATTCCAATAATGAATATTGCAGTAACAAATATTCCAATAGAAACATTCCAGTAATGAATATTCCAATAACAAATATTCCAATGATGAATATTCCAATAACAAATATTGCAATAGAAACATTCCAATAATGATTATTCTAGTAACAAATATTCCAATAGAAACATTCCAATAATATTCCAATATCAAACATTCCAATAAGGAATCTCCCAATGACAAACATTCCAATGCCAATATTCCAATAACAATATTCCATTAACAGTATTCCAATAGCAAACATTCCAATGCCAACCTTCCATTATCAGCGTCCCATTAACAACATTCCAGTGCCAACATTCCAATGCCAACGTTCCATTAACAACATTCCAACAGCAAATATTCCAATGCCACCATTCCAATGTCAACATTGCAATGCCAAATTCCAATAACAAATGTTCCAATGCAAATATTCCATTGGAAACATTCCAGTGCCAACATTCCAATAGCAAACATTCCAATGCCAACATTCCAATGCCAACATTCCAATGCCAACATTCCAATGCCAACGTTCCCGTGGCAGGACTGGGTGCGCCAGGCTCTGCGGCACCAGAACGGCTACAACTCCAGCAGCAGCAGGTAAATCCTGGGGTCATCCTGATCCATGGGGTCATCCCAATCCCAACGGGGTCATCCCAATCCCAGTGGGGTCATCCCAGTCCCAACAGGGTCATCCCAGTCCCAACGGGGTCATCCCAATCCCAACGGGGTCATTCCAATCCCAATGGGGTCATCCCCGTCCCAGTCCCAATTGGGTCATCCCAATCCATGGCGTCACATCCCAATCCATGGGGTCATCCCGATCCATGAGGCTGTCCCAGTCCCAGCCGGGATGCCCCAGTGCCAGCTGTGGTGTCCCGGTGCCAGCTGGCATGTCCCAGTCCCTACTGGGAATGTCCCAGTGCCAGCTGGGATGTCCCAGTGCCAGCTGTGGTGTCCCAGTCCCAGCCGGGATGCCCCAGTGCCAGCTGTGGTGTCCCGGTGCCAGCTGTGGTGTCCCGGTGCCAGCTGTGGTGTCCCTGCAGGAGGGACATTGCCAAGGTCACCATCTTCTACCGGCAGCTGAGCTCGCAGGCTGTGCACGAGGCCCCGCTGCTCTCAGTAGGTGACAACTCCTCCTTTATTCCCTTTCCATGGAATTCCTGAGAGTTCTGGGAGGGATTAATTCCTAGGATTTCATTATTTGCCTTAATTTTATAGAATAGAAAAATATATCTGTTTATTTCTATTATAATAGTAACTATTAATTAATAGGAATTAATTTAAGCTTTATTTTACATGATATATAAATAGATATTTGTTTATATGCTATTATTAATTAATATAAATTTATTTTAAATATATATATATATACTTATTTATATGTTAATATTAATTATTAGTTAGCTTAACTCCCAGGCTGTGCATGAGGCCAACAGCAGAATTCCTGTTCCCAGAGCTCAGATAAATAAAAAAATCAGATTTTTTTTTCCCAGCAGAACCTGCTGCTTGGAGCTTTGGGATTGGTTTTGGTTTTTTGTTTAGGGAAAATTTTTGGGATATGAGTTACTGACCAAAAAGGCTCCAAATATGGGTTTGAGGAATAGAAGAAGCAAAATAAAAACCCCAAACTCTGTCCTATCTGTCATCATTTTTGGTTTTCCAGGAGAACCTGCTGCTTGGAGCTTTGGGATTGGTTTTGGTTTTTTGTTTAGGGAAACTTTTTGGGATATGAGTTACTGACCAAAAAGGCTCCAAATATGGGTTTGAGGAATAGAAGAAACATAGAAAAAACAAAATAAAACCCTAAATTCTGTCCCATCCGTGATAATTTTGGGTTTTTCAGGAGCTTGGAGCTTTGGGATTGGTTTTGGTTTTTTTGTTTAGGGAAAATTATTGGGAAAATGAGCCACGGATCCCATATGCTCCAAATATGGTTTGAGGAACAGAAGAAACATAGAAAAAGCAGAATACACCCCCAAATTCTGTCCCATCCCCGGTGATTTTGGTTTTCCAGGAGAACCTGCTGATGGAACTTTGGGATTGGTTTTGGTATTTCATTTAGGGAAAATTATTGGGAAAATGAGTTACTGATCCCATATGCTCCAAATATGGAACTGAGGAATAGAAAAAACATAGAAAAAGCAAAATACACCCCCAAGCACTGTCCAATCCTTGATGATTTTTGGTTTTCCAGGAGAACCTGCTGATGGAACTTTGGGATTGGTTTTGGGTTTTTATTTAGGGAAAAATGAGCCACAGATCCCATATGCTGCAAATATGGGTGTGAGGAATAGAAGAAACATAGAAAAAGCAGAATACACCCCCAAATTCTGTCCCATCCCTGATCATTTTGGGTTTTCCAGGAGAACCTGCTGCTGTCCAGCATGGGCAGCCAGTGGAGCCTCTGGTTCGGCTCCTCGGTGCTCTCGGTGGTGGAGATGCTGGAGCTGCTCCTGGACACCCTGGTGCTGTCCCTGCTCTTCTGCTTCCAGAGGCTCCGCGCCCGGGGGGGCTCCAGGGGCTCCAGCCCCTCCCCAGACCTCAGCCTGGCCCTGGAAAATTCCAGGGAATTTCAGGAGGGAGCCCAAGGCTCAGGATTGGGGCAGCCGCAGCTCCCGGTGGGGAACAGGCAGGAGCTGGGACACAGCTGAGGGGCTGGAATTCCCAAATTCTGGGGGAAAAGTGACAGGGATGTCCTGGATCCACAGCTGAGGGGCTGGAATTCCCAAATTCTGGGGGAAAAGTGACAGGGATGTCCTGGATCCACAGCTGAGTGTGGCAGTGCTTGGAATTCACCTGGGCTGTGATCCCAGCTGGAATTCCCAAAAAGCTCCTGGAATTCCCAAACTCCTCTGGGCTTTAATTCCAGCTGGAATTCCCAGAAACCTCCTGGAATTCTGAAAAACCTCCTGCCCTTGGAGCTCTGATCCATGCTGGAATTCCCAAACTCCTCCGGGCTTTGATCCCAACTGGAATTCCCAAACTCCCCCTGGAATTCCCAAAAACCTCCTGAAATTCCCAGAAACCTCCTGCCCTTGGAGCTCTGATCCATGCTGGAATTCCCAAACCCCTCCAGGTTCTGATCCCACCTGGAATTCCCAACCTCCCCCTGGAATTCCCAAAAACCTCCTGGAATTTCCAGCCCCTCCTTCCCTCTGGAATTTCTGCTGCTTTTGGGTTTCCTGGGTAATTCCCACCGAGTCCGACTCTTCCAGAGGGAAATAAAGAGAAAAAACATCAGGATTGGGAATTCTTTAGGTCCCAGAAAAATCCTCTGATTCCTGTGGAATGTTGGGGTTTTATTTATTAACCGAGGTAATGTTAATTTTTGTTAATATTTGTTAATTTTTGTTAATTATTGTTAATTTATCTGTACATAAAACAGAATAAACAACTTTATTTTTGATGGGGATGTTTGCACAGGAGCGTTTTCCTCCCTTGGACCCCACAAACTTTGGTTTTTTAAATTATTTTTAAATAATAAAATGACCTGAAAACAGATTTTGACTTTTTTTTTTTTTTTAAAAAAGCAGATTTTTCTGTGCCATTCAGTGCCCCACAGCTCAGCCTGGAGAAGGAAAAGGGGTTAAAAACGCAGATTTTGGTTAATCCAGCAAGAAACCAAGCTGAGAAGGAGGAGGGAAGGAGTTTTTATGCAGATTTTTATTAAGAGTGCTTCAAGAGACCAGAGAAGGGAGAGGGAAAAAAGGCAGCACAAGAAAGAGCCTTGGAATTGTACAGAGGTGATTACAGAGAGAAAATCGGAATGTCCAGAGTGCAGGGAGGGAAAGGGTTAAAAAATCCTGGTGCAAAGAGAGCGGGGAGGAGAGCAGGGCTGGGAACTGGGAACGGAATTTTATTTACAGCGAGGGCAGAGCCTCGGGCTGGCCAAAAAATGTCTGAGATGGCCAAAAATCCTCTGAGCTGGCCAAAAATCCCTCGGAGATGGCCAAAAATCCCTCGGAGATGGCCAAAAATCCCTCGGAGATGGCCAAAAAGTTCTCAGCTGGCCAAAAAACCTCTGAGATAACCAAAAAAGGACTTCTGAGATGGCCAAAAATCCTCTGAGCTGGCCAAAAAAATCTCTGAGATGGCCAAAAATCCTCTGAGATAACAAAAAAGGGCTTCTGAGATGGCCCAAAACCCTCTGAGATGGCCAAAAAAATATCAGAGATGGCCAAAAACCATCTGAGATAACCAAAAATTGGCTTCTGGCCTGGCCAAAAACTTCAGAGCTGGCCAAAAATCCTCTGAGGGGGCCAAAGGATCTCTCCCTGTCCCCATCCCTGTCCCCATCCCTGTCCCCATCCCTGTCCCTGCTGTTGGGACACGAAGCCGTGGCAGCCCTGGCTGGCCCCAGGTGTCCCCAGGTGCCACCTCTGGGGACAGCAGCAGCTCCACCCAAACTGCTCCGTGCTGGCACCAAGGCCCCCCCAGGTGTCCCCTCCTGGTGTCCCCTCCCCCCAGCCTCATTCCCAGAGGGAATTCCGGGCACGGCCCCCCCGGCAGCGTGAGGAGGCCGTTCCCTGGGGACATCCCAGCCACCCTGCAGCTCCTCAGCCCCTCGGTGTCACCTCCCGGTGCCTCTGCTCCGAGAGGGACACGGGGAGGGACAGCAGAGCTGGGAGGAACCCAGAAATCCAAACCTGGAACTGCTGAGGAACCCAGAAACCCAAACCTGGAACTGCTGAGGAACCCAAAAATCCAAACCAGGAATTGGTGAGGAACCCAGAAATTCAAACCAGGAATTGGTGAGGAACCCAGAAATTCAAACCAGGAATTGGTGAGGAACCCAAAAATCCAAACCAGGAACTGCTGAGGAACCCAAAAATCCAAACCAGGAATTGGTGAGGAACCCAAAAATCCAAACCAGGAACTGCTGAGGAACCCAAAAATCCAAACCAGGAACTGCTGAGGAACTCCAGAACTCTGAAACTCCACCCAGGAATTGTGAGAAACAAAATAATTCAAACCAGGAACTCCTGAGGAACTCAAAACTCCACCCAGGAATTGTGAGAAACTCAAAAATTCAAACCAGGAATTGGTGAAGAACTCCAGAACTCCAAAAGTCAAACCAGGAATTGCTAAAAAACTCCAGAATTCCAACCAGGAATTGGTGAAGAACTCCAAAAATTCAAATCAGGAATTGTGAGGAACTCCAAAACTCAAACCAGGAATTGTGAGAAATTCAAAAATTCAAACCAGGAGATGCTAAAAAACTCCAAAATTCCAACCAGGAATTGTGAGGAACTCCAAAAATTCAAACCAGGAATTGTGAGAAATTCAAAAATTCAAACCAGGAGATCCAAAATTCCAACCAGGAATTGTGAGGAACTCCAAAACTCCAACCAGGAATTGCTAAAAAACCTCAAAAATTCAAATCACGAATCGTGAGAAACCCCAAAATTCAACCCAAGAATTGCTGAGAAACTCAAAATTCCCATTTTCCACCCGTGGCAGGAATCCCGTGCATTCCTTGAGCAGCTCCTGGCTTTTTCTTGCATAAATCACAAAATTTTTGCTGCTCCTGCTCCTGATTTTGATATTTCCTGATATTTTGGACGTTCCTGATCTCTCAATCCCAAAATCCTCCCTCCTGGAAGCTGTGAGATGATTAATGAATGGTGATTAATTAATGAATTTGATGATCTCAGAGGTATTTTCCAATGAATAATTCTGTTTGATGCCAGGCCCAGCTCAGCTTCTCCCACCTGGATTTTTGGTTAAAGGCATCAAATCTCCCAATCCCATTTTTTAATTAAATTTTTTCCTTTAAAAAATCCAAGAAATTTCCCAGCTCAGAGGCAGCAAGGCTGAAAAAACCTGAAAAAAACCCCTGGAAAATTGAAAATCCCAACTGGAATCAGAGTCCCGAGATCCAAACCCAGGCTGGATCCAAGCCCAGGCACTTGGGTCAAATAAAGAGAGAAAAATTCCCACAGATCCCAAAAAATTCCAAGGATGGAGGATCCTGGTGGCTGAGGGGACTTTGCTTTTAAATTCCTCTTGTTAAATGTGGTTAAATCCAAGAGAAAACACTCACACCCCCTTGGAAAAATAGAGAAAAATTTAAAAATATTAAAAAAAAACCAATTTAGGGCATTAAATCTTCCAGCCAGGTTGGTACAACACAAATCCAGCTGCTTTTCAGGCAAGAAAAACAAAAATATTCTTTTTTTTTTTTCACCTCCCTCAGAGCCTGGAACTGCTCAAATTTCAATTTGAAAATTGAAATTGAATTTTCTGCCTTCCCCACTCTCCAAATTGAAATTTGGAGCCCACGACCCCCACCCAAGGAGAAATAAAAATGCAAGAAACACAGAAAATAGGGAGAAGTGCATCCTTAACGTGTTTTTGTTTTTTTTTTTTTTTCCTGGAGAAATTTTTGGTTTGGGGATTGCAGGGTGTTGGGTTTATCTCAAATCTGAGGTTTTTGAACGATGGGAAGAAAAAAAAAATCCTGCCATGAAATACAGACCAACTGTATTGAATAAAAATTGCACTAGTCCTCTGGGCACATCAATAATAAGAATAAATTAAATACTTAACAATTCCACCGATTAAAAAAGACAGCACAAAAACCCATAACAAAAGAACATAAAACCCCCCAAAATACTGTCAGGTAGGAAAAGTGCACCAAGTTGCTTTTATACATCAACTCTAAATATTTAAAGTACCAATAAATGTTAAATAAATCCATTGTCTTGCAAGATGCTGCTTTGTTTTTGCATCCATATTTACATTTTTTTTTTCTTATTTTTTTTTTCCAACTTCAGCAGTGAGTCTGAGCTTCCAGGGTTCAGCCTGGCCAGGGCTTGTGGCCAGAATTCCCAGAAAAAAATGAAATAAAACGACCCAAAAAGTGGAAGCTGCGGTTTTCCTCGGTTCTCAGAAGATCGGTCGGGGTTTGAGCTCCTCCTAAAAAAGTTGGGAAAAGCAGGGGGGGTTGAAAATCGGTTTTGGGGTTGCTGTACAGGTTAAAAAATTCAAATGTGGCAGTGCTGAAATGCACGAGCAGAGCAGAGTGTGGAATTCTCCTGGTGGGAATGGAAAAGGGCTGGGAAATGTGGGAATTCTCCTCTGCTCTCAGGAGTGAAGAAATTCCCTCTTGTTCTCAAATGCTGGGAATTCTCAGGTCTCAAATGTGAAAATTCTCAACTCTCAGATGTGAAAATTCTCCTCTGCTCTCAGGAGTGAAGAAATTCCCCTTTGCTCTCAAATGTGAAAATTCTCCTTTGCTCTCAAGAGTGAAAATTCTCATTCATTCTCAAATGTGAAAATTCTCCTTTGCTGGCAAATGGTGAAAATTCTCAGCTCTCAAATGTGAAAATTCTCATTCATTCTCAAATGAGGAAACTCTCCTTTGCTCTCAGGAGTGAAGAAATTCTCCTTTGCTCTCAAATGTGAAAATTCTCATTCATTCTCAAATGTGGAAACTCTGCTCTCAGGAGTGAAGAAATTCATTTTTGTTCTCAAATGCAAATTCTCCTTTGCTCTCAAATGTGAAAATTTTCCACTCTCAAATATGAAAATTCTCCTTTGCTCTCAAGAGTGAAGAAATTCTCCTTTTTTCTCAAATGGTGAAAATTCTCAACTCCCAGTTTTGAAAATTCTCCTCCATTCTCAAATGTGAAAATTCTCCTCTGCTCTCAAGAGTGAAGAAATTCTCCTTTTTTCTCAAATGGTGAAAAATTTCAAATCCCAAATTTGAAAATTCTCCTCCACTTTTAAATGGTGAAAATTCTCCTCCAGTCTCAAGAATGAAGAGATTCTCCTTTTTTCTCAAAAGTGAAAATTCTCCTTTGCTCTCAAATGGCGAAAATTCCTCCACTCTCAAATGCTGAAAATTCCCCTTTGCTCTCAAATGTGAAAACTCTCCTTTTTTCTCAAAAGTGAAAATTCTCCTTTGCTCTCAAATGGTGAAAATTCTCCTTTGCTCTCAAATGGCGAAAATTCCTCCACTCTCAAATGCTGAAAATTCCCCTTTGCTCTCAAATGTGAAAACTCTCCTTTTTTCTCAAAAGTGGAAATTCTCCTTTTCCCTCAAAAGTGGAATCTCTCCGCTCTCCGGAGCTCTGAGGCCCCGGCAGGTTTGCGGGCTCAGGGGGATCAGCCCCAGGGATGGGCTGGGGGCTGGGGAGGGAATTCCCGGCAGGACCCCCAGCCCGGGGGCCAGGTGGGATTTGGGGTCCTGCAGAGCTCCAGGGGCTGGGGTGTCCCTGGGGTTTGGGGTCCCAGCCCAGCCCAGCTGGGCCAGGGCTGCAGGACCGGGCTTTAGGGAGGATTTGGGAGCAGGATCAGCGCCTAAGCCCATCCCAGCTGGGCCAGGAGCAGCCAGGAGTGAGATTTGGGCTGGGTTTAGGAGCAGGATCAGCACCACAGCTTCCATCCCATCCCAGCTGGGCCAGGAGCAGCCAGGACTGAGATTTGGGGTGGGTTTAGGAGAAGGATCAGCACCTAAGCCTATCCTAACTGTGCCAGGAACAGCCAGGAGTGAGATTTAGGTGGATTTGGGAGCAGGATCAGCACCTAAGCCCATCCTAACTGTGCCAGGAACAGCCAGAACTGGGATCTGGGGTGGGTTTAGGATCAGGATCAGCACCTAAGCCCATCCCAGCTGGGCCAGGGCTGCAGGACTGGGATTTAGGTGGATTTGGGAGCAGAATCAGCACCTAAGCCCATCCTAACTGTGCCAGGAGCAGCCAGGCCTGGGATTTGGGGTGGGTTTAGGAGCAGGATCAGCACCACAGCTTCCATCCCATCCCAGCTGGGCCTGAGCTGCAGGACACTGCTCAGCCCTGGCTTTAAACTTTTAAAACCTGGCTTTTTTAAACTTCTAAACCTGGCTATTTTAGCTTTTAAACCCTGGCTTTAAAAACTTTCAAACCTGGCTATTTTAACTTTAAACCCTGTTTTTTTAAAACTTTTAAATCGATGGCAGCAGCACCAGCAGGATGGAGGAAGGGAAAGGTGACAGTGACACCCAAGGGAAGGCACTGCCCTGCTCAGGAGGGGGGGCATTGAAATTTGGGGTGAAATTTGAAATTTGGGGCGATTTGGGTGAGAAAGAAGACAAAGCCCAAAGAGCAGCACTTTCCTAGGGCAGCAGGAACTGCTGGAGCCAGGAGAGGGCTGGGAGAGCCCTGAGGGGGAAGAGCTGCTCCCCAAAAACTGAGGAGACAATTCCAGCCCCAGGAACAAACCCTGCGAGGTTTCTGAAGGGAAAACATCGGGAATTCCAAGAGGATGGGATGGGAAAGGGGAGGATTGTGGAGTGCAGGAGGGTGGGGAGCTCTGCCTGGGATTCCTGGTTTCCTCAGAGCCCCTGGAGATGCCAGGACGATCCCTAAGGCACTGTGACCCTGGAGCCCAGGCAGGGGTGTCCCCAAAATCCCACAAATCCTGACCCCAGATCCTGATAAATCCTGTTCCCAAATCCTGACAAATCCTGTTTCCAAATCCTGACCCCAAATCCTGATAAATCCTGTTCCCAAATCCTGACCCCAAATCCTGTTCCCAAATCCTGACAAAATCTGGTGCCAACTGCAGCTGGGGACATTGGGAAAGTCTCCAACCTCCAGCCAGGATTCCAAAAGTCCTTGGAAGAGACTCCAACCTCCAGCCAAAATTCCAGAGGTTCCTGGGAAAGGCTCTGAGCTCCAGCCAGGATTCCAGAGGTCCCAGAGCCCTCCCAAGACGGGATGAGACAGCAGCAAAGTGCTCCAAGGAGAGCCACGCTCCCTCACTGCAGCTGAGAGAGGAAAAAAAAGGAGAAAAACCACAAAATTCTGCTGCTCCTTGGAGCTGGGGAGCTCTGAAGCTGCTGAGATGCTCCAGCACGTGGGGGGAGCACGGAGGGGACTCATCCAGGTGGAATTCTCTCCCATGGAGACCTCAGGGAACCCAGAGAAGGCAAATCCACCATCCCTGGGTGGGATTGGAAGAAGATTGGACGTGGCACGTGGTGCTGGGCTTGGCTGGGGCATGGGGTGGACTCCGTGGACTTGAAGGTGACTTCCAGCCTGGGGATTCTGGGATCATGGGATCTGGGATCATGGGATTCTGTGAAATTGGAGCTGGAGCTCCTCCCTGCCCCAAGCCCATCGCCAGCGACAGGGATCAGTGCTGCTGCTTCCAGGAATTCCAGTGGGACTGGAACCCTTCTGGGAATTCCAGCAGGATGGGAACTCTTCTGGGAATTCCAGCGGGATGGGAATCCTTGTGGGAATTCCAGCGGGGTGGAAGCAGGGCAGCTATGGCTTTGAGCAGCCCAGCACCCAGGGCAGCAGCCCAGGGGAGCGGGGCTGGTTCAGTCCTGAGAGCAGCGAAGGTGAGCAGCCAGAGATCCCAGTCCTGATCCTGATCCCAGTCCTGATCCCAATCCTGATCCCAATCCCAATCCTGATTCTGGTCCTGCTGGGCCTCTGGAGCATCCCTGCCCCAAACCAGCCTGGAGGGCACCTCGGGGTCCTCCCAGGGCAGAGCAGGCTCCACGCCACGATCCCTGCCAGAATTCCAAGCCAGCTCTTCAGGGACAGCTTTGTCTGCTCCTGGGGTTGGTGGCTCTCTCCTGGTCACAGAAGGTTTTTCCTTTTCTTCTCTTAATCCTGTTTTTTTTCCTTTTTTTTTTTGTTGTTGTTTTTTTTTTTTTTTAACCTCTAAGTTCATCTCCCACACACTCCATCCATCCATCCATCCCACGTGCCACAATCCGTGGTCATACCCTGGGAGGCTCCTACTCAAAAAAAAAAAAAAAAAACCAAACAAAAAAAACCCCCCAAAAAAAATAAAATCAACCATCCAGTAGTCAAGCATGAGAACTCAAACCCCACAAAAGGAAAAACCCCCTGAGGGCAGCTCAACCCTAGGGGTGCAGGCATCACAACCAGACCAACCAGCAGGGAAAACACCAAATATCCGAGGGGGGGGCTCTGCAGGGACCCCGCCCGGCCCCGGGCCGGCCGAGGGGACGCGGGGCTGTCCCTAACACTCGTCGATGTTGAGGCTGATGAACTCCTGGATGCATTTCCTGTACTGCAGCTCCGTGGGGCTGTTGCTGGGGTACTGGCCGGGCTGGCCCAAGGGCCCCTCTGCCTCCCGCATCTCCTCGTTCATCCGCGCCAGGCGCAGCCTGCGGGCAGGGCAGGGCGGGATCGGTTATTCCTGCCCCTCCTGGTGGTGCTTCCCGCTGTTCCCCTGCTCCCAGGCAGCGTTTCCCGGTGTTTCCCTGTTCCCAGGCAGTGTTTCCCGGTGTTCCCAGTGTTTCCCCGTATTTCCCAGTGTTTCCCCGTATTTCCCAGGCAGTGTTTCCCAGTGTTTCTGGGTGTTTCCCATTACTTCCCAGTGTTTCCCTGTTCTCAGGCAGCGTTTCCCAGTGTTCCTGGTGTTCCCAGTGTTTCCCTGTTCTCAGGCAGCGTTCCCAGTGTTTCCCAGTCCCCAGGCAGCGTTTCCCAGTGTTTCTGGGTGTTTCCCAGTACTTCCCGGTGTTTCCCAGTACTTCCCAGTGTTTCCCAGTCCCCAGGCAGTGTTTCCCAGTGTTTCTGGGTGTTTCCCATTACTTCCCAGTGTTTCCCTGTTCTCAGGCAGCGTTTCCCGGTGTTCCTGGTGTTCCCAGTGTTTCCCTGTTCTCAGGCAGCGTTTCCCAGTATTTCCCAGTGTTTCCCAGGCAGTGTTTCCCGGTGTTCCCAGTGTTTCCCCGTATTTCCCAGTGTTTCCCCGTATTTCCCAGGCAGTGTTTCCCAGTGTTTCTGGGTGTTTCCCATTACTTCCCAGTGTTTCCCTGTTCTCAGGCAGCGTTTCCCAGTGTTCCTGGTGTTCCCAGTGTTTCCCTGTCCCCAGGCAGAGGTTCCTGGTGTTCCCAGTACTTCCCAGTGTTTCCCTGTTCCCAGGCAGCATTTCCTGGTGTTCCCAGTACTTCCCAATGTTGCCCAGTCCCCAGGCAGTGTTTCCCAAAATTTCCCCAGGCAGTGTTTCCCTGTTCCCACGCAGCATTTCCTGGTGTTCCCAGTATATCCCAGTGTTTCCCAGTTCCTAGGCAGTGTTTCCCACCGTTTCCCACTCTCTCCCAGTACTTCCCAGTGTTTCCCTGTCCCCAGGCAGAGGTTCCTGGTGTTCCCAGTACTTCCCAGTGTTTCCCTGTTCCCAGGCAGCATTTCCTGGTGTTCCCAGTACTTCCCAATGTTGCCCAGTCCCCAGGCAGTGTTTCCCAGTGTTTCCCAGTATTTCACAGTGTTCCCCAGTGATTCCTGGTCCCCAGGCAGTATTTCCCAGTGCTTCCCAGTATTCCCCAGGCAGTGGTTCCTAATGTTTCCCAGTATTCCCCAGTGTTTCCCAGTCCCCAGGCAGTACTCCCCAATGTTTCCCAGTCCCCAGGCAGTATTCCCCAGTGTTTCCCAATGCCTCCCAGTGTTTCCCAGTGTTCCCTGATCTCCAGGCAGTGTTTCCCAGTGTCTCCTGGTGTTTCCCAGCCGTGGTGGCACTCACAGGGTGACGATGTCGGCGTTGGCCGCGCTCACCGCGATGCTCAGCGGGTCCTGCCCGTCCCCGTCGGGCGTGTGCTGGGTGGCCCCTCGCTTCAGGAACAGGCACACCTGCCTGGGGAGGAATCACACCATTCCTCAACTCCCAAATTCCCAAATTCCCCAATTCCAGCCCCTCGCTTCAGGAACAGGCACACCTGCCTGGGGAGGAATCACACCATTCCTCAACTCCCAAATTCCCAAATTCCCCAATTCCAGCCCTGTGCTTCAGGAACAGGCACAGCTGCCTGGGGAGGGAAGGAATCACACAATTTCTGAATTCCTAAATTCTAGAGGCAGGAATTCCAGCCCTGAACTTCAGGAACAGGCACAGCTGCCTGGGGACAGGGAGCCTCAGGAAAGGAATTCCAGAGGCACAGAATTCCAGCTCCAAGGAACAGAATTCCAGCTCACCATCCTTATTCCAGGGTGCTCCAACCTGCCCTTGGGCACTTCCAGGGATGGGGCAGCCTCAGATTCTCTGGGAATTCCATCCCAGCCACAAATCCTCAGGGAATTCCATCCCAGCCCCTCCCCAGCCACAAATCCTCAGGGAATCCCATCCCAGCCAGCAATTCCCTGGGAATTCCACCCCAGGCACCCAGGGAAAAGCAATCTCCCGCCTCACCCCGCCCTGTGCCAGCCCCGCGCTTTTGACAACGCCCCAAAATCCGCATTTTCCAGCTGGATTCCCCCAGATCCCGGCTTTCCGTGCCCTCCAGCTGGGAATGGCATTCCAGGGAGCGGGAGGAGCTGGCACTCACCCGGTGTGCCCCAGGTAGGTGGCGTGGTGCAGCGGCGCCCGGCCCCGCGCGTCCCGCTGGTTGACGTCGGCCCCGTTCTGCAGCAGGAACTCGCAGGCGAGCAGGGAGCCCTGGGAAAGGGGGAAAATGGGGGGAAAATGGGGGGAAAAATGGGAATTTCCACTCGGTTCTGACAGATTGGACAATTCCCAAAGGGAATTCACACATCGATTCAGCCAGACTGGACAATTCCCAAAGAATTTCCAGTCAATTCAGCCAGACCGGACAATTCCAAAAAGGGAATTCACACCTCAATTCATCCAGGCTGGACAATTCCCAAAGGAAATTCCCACACCAGACCGGACAATTCCCAAAGGAAATTCCCACACCAATTCACCCAGACCCAACTCCCAAAGGGAATTCCCACCCCATTTCACCCAGATCCAACTCCCAAAGGGAATTTCCACACCAGACTCAATCCCCAAAGGAAATTCCTACACCATTTCATCCAGACCCAATTCCCAAAGGGGGGGGGAAGGGGGGAAAAAAGGGGGGAAAACGGGGGGGGAATGGGGGGAAAGGAGAGAGGGGAAAGGATCAGCCCAAAGCGTCTCACTGTGTGCTACACCCCTTCCTCAAATGGGGGCACCTCCCCCGGTGTGCCACCCCCTGCCCGGTGCCACCCGGTGCCACCCGGTGCCACCCACCTTCCTCGGTGACGCTGTCCACCACGGAGCCGAACACGAGCACGTCGCCGCTGCCGTCGGTGCTCCCGCCCAGGCCGCTGTCACTGCTCAGACCTGCGGGGCCAACAGGACACAAACCACGGCCACCTGAACACCTGCCCCACAGCCCGGCCTGCCCGCGCTGCTGCTCCGCCGGGGCAAGAGTCACGGAACCCACGGAACTCACAGAACCCACAGGATTCTGCCTAAGAACCAAAAAGTGTAATAAAATTCTGACCGTGGCTGCTGCTTCCCACGGGAAATTCAGAATTAATGGGCAGCAAAGGAGAGCAGTCCCCAGCCGGGGCTGCACACCAGAGCCAAGGCTGGGGTCACACGGCCCAAAATGGAACAAAGTTCTGGCCAGAGTCATCCCAGAGCAGGCAGAACCTTCCCAAGATCCCAAAATGGAACAAAATTCTGGCCAGAGTCATCCCAGAGCAGGCAGAACCTTCCTAAGTACCCAAAATATCAGAAAATTCTGACCAATATCATATTAGAGCAGGCAGAACCTTCCTAAGAACCCAAAATCTCACGAATTTCTGACCAAAGTCATCTCAGAGCAGCCAGAACTTTCCTAAGAACCCAAAATGTAACAAATTTCTGACCAGAGTCATCCCAGAGCAGGCAGAACCTTCCTAAGTACCCAAAATATCAGGAATTTCTGACCAACGTCATCCCAGAGCAGGCAGAACCTTCCTAAGAACCCAAAATATCACAGATTTCTGACCAACGTCATCCCAGAGCAACCAAAACCTTCCTAAGAACCCAAAATCTCACAAATTTCTGACCAAAGTCATCTCAGATCAGCCAGAACTTTCCTAAGAACCCAAAATATCAGAATATTCTAACCAACATCATCCCAGAGCAATCAAAACCTTCCTAAGAACCCAAAATCTCACAAATTTCTGACCAAAGCCACCTCTGAGCAGCCAGAGCCGTTCGCAGGCACAGCCTCTCTTGCAGAGGTAAAACCAAAATCTGTGAAAAATAAAAATCTGCTCCCGAGCACTTACTGCGAGGGCCGGAGCCGGCGCCGGTGTCGAAGTAGGAGAAGAGGGAGTCCAGCTCGTCGGGGCAGAAGAGAGAATCCCGGCGGAATTTCCTCTCCAGGGTGGCTGCTGCTTCCCACGGGAAATTCAGAATTAATGGGCAGCAAAGGAGAGCAGTCCCCAGCCGGGGCTGCACACCAGAGCCAAGGCTGGGGTCACACGGCCCAAAATGGAACAAAGTTCTGGCCAGAGTCATCCCAGAGCAGGCAGACCCCTCCACAGATCCCAAAATGGAACAAATTTCTGACCCCAGTCATCCCAGAGCAGGCAGAACCTTTCCTGAGCAAGCAAAATATCAGAAATTTCTGTCTAAAGTCAACCTAGAGCAGGCAGAACCTTCCTAAGAACCCAAAATATCAGAAATGTCTGACCCAAGTCAGAAATTAGGGAAGTTAGTTTATATATAACTGAATTATATAATCATTAGATAATAATATAATATTTATATATAATGATATAAAAATATTATTTATTAATTTAATTCATTACATATTAGTAATTATAGTAATATACATGATTTAATATATTATTATATTGATATA